ACATTGCTGTCAGCACTTTCCGTATTTATCACTGAACGAGGTAAGCCATTTTAAGCGGTGATTTGCAGGGCAAGTGTCAGCGATAAAGCTGCCCGCGAAAAGCCCTTTCCTTTTCGGTATAAAATTGTGCGTACTATTCGGACCCACCTAGTTTCCGTTGTTTCAGCCGCTCTTTTCCGAATATTTAATTATTTTAACAAAAATTTATTAGATACTACAAACGATATACAAGCGGCAGCTCAAAAAACAGTGCTGAAAAAATGACCACTTCACGCAAAGTAAAATAACAAAACCATTACTGCAAATTGCAAACGCGGCTGACAAAAAAAAACAGTATTTTTTGTTAATTTTATCAAATCAAAACTTCATGTTCTATTGGGATTTGTGAGTCTCGAAACTATTCATCTGACATTGTTTTCTTTGAAGGCACTAAGCCCGATTTGGTAAGCTATTTTTTTCACTTTTAAGTCTGTTGAATATCGCTTTGTTCTTATTTGGTTTTATAATTTCAATTTGGTTACTTGAATTTTGAACAATTTTTTCTTCCTCTCTGGGCTAACGCAACTTCTGCAATACTTAGATTATTATTATTATTAGCTTAATTAAAATAATCAGATGGTCAAAGTATCATAATAACCGAGGTAACAGTTCTTAAATATCCTGACGATGCACTTCGTTGCAAAAACGTATGAAACCCTCATGTTAAACTGCAATAAGTCTACTAGACAACTAAATCGTTATTGTTTTTTCTTCAGAAAAGTCTGTGTCTTTTAAGAAAGCGTATGATTTTGAGTAACCGCCATAATTTGAATACATGAAATTGAGATGAAACGTTTAATCTGATTGATTCGACCTTTTAAAGCGGAGATGAATATTGTTTTCGTGTTTGTTAGTTTTTGTTCCGACTTTCGATACGTTAATCCATCATAGAAATCGTTCCAAATTGGTTTAACGAAGCTTAATAGCCATAATTGATTGGCTACAAGGAGCAAAATCTATCTTTTTGTACTTCGTATGGCGTGTGGGGGGATTATTTTCATAAGAAATTTCAAATTTTAGAAAAAAAGTTTTCATTTTGTATTATTTCATTTAATTTTTTAATGTTATTACTGCTCCATAAACCTTAACAGGCAGTCGGAACATTCAGGGCTTCGCCCTGATACGAGCAGTCTTGTTGAACTTTTATATGCTAATTAAAGTACCGCAAATAGTTATAGGAATAGATCGAGTTGTTTATCATATGAGACCCATTCGAGACCTCTGTATATAGTTTTTAAAAATTTGGGTTGATTACCCACAAGCGAACAAAGTTAAAAGAAAAATTACGATTTTACTTTCATACAGGCCTAATTGTGAAGGACCACTTTTGACAACATTTCATTTGAGTTATAGCCAAAATTTTTACATCGACCGATTGCAAATGATCTGAACTCCTTCTCTGAAAATCTAAATTTTTGATTTGAAGTTTTTTTGACGGTGTGAATATATTAGAAACCACAGATTTGAGGAAAGTTGTTACAATGAACGATTTCAAGAGTATTCATGAGTTGGGTAATTTTCTTCTCTTTCAAAAAGTTTCACACCGCGATAAGCAAAGGTAATGCAATCTGGTATTAGACTTTTTCCCGTAAATAATTTTGCTTACAGGACTTTTCTCCTGGATTCTGAACTCTTTCATATGCTTACTTCATTATAATTTCAACCAAAAAGCTGGCGTAGAGGTAACACAGCTGCTTCAGGTGGAAAAGGTTTGTGCTTCGAATCCGGCCGGGACCTGATTGTTTTCCAACCTTGAGTTTTGTGCTTTTTCGCACTATTTCCCGTCTGTTATTTTTTCCAGTAGTTCCAGTAGTTCAATTGTTTCCCCTAACTCAACTTTTTAGCTCAAGGTTAAGTTTTCTTCTAAGTTGCTGTAACACACATGCTTGACGACGAAGCCTGAGTTCGATTCCAGTCGGGTCTTACGTTTTCGCAAAATCAAAATTTTCGGCTAATCTATTAGGATTTTGTTTGTCTGCTTTTTTTGCCGTCTTAGCTCCCGCAGAACGGACTGTTTTGATGTTCGGCTTCTTTCTGGCATTTTGAAAACTCCTTGTGAAGTTTCTGATGATTGTGGTAATTTTGTTCCGGATTGTTTGGGCTTTTATAAGTTTTTTTTTTTAATTTTTCATTTGATTTTAATCTATGTCAATACTTCTTGTATCGCAAGTGACGTCATGCTCAGCTTCGCCTCTGTGCCAAAGTATTTTACCTCGGGTATTCAAAATTTTTTTCACTTCCATAGAAAACTTAATATAAACGGTAAAAATTGGCCTTTTCAGACCCGGAAAAAGCTGGTAGGTTCTTCAAATCTAAAATCGAGACTTTCTGAGAAGATAGTTCAGATCATTTGCAATAAGTTAAAGTAAAAGATTTGAAAATTCTAAATAGAGGACAAGTGTACCTTATTTACGAGTTCCATCGAGCACGCCTAAGATTGAGGTCTTTTTTTAGATCCATATCACATCAGGAAAATAAAAATAGTTTTTTTCGTTGTGGCCACTGACCGTATTCACATTTAGCTAGCAAAAGAACTTTTCTAGCAATTGATTAATTCTAGCGGGGCTAAAAAACAACAACAAAAACAGCAAAATAATTGATGAGAATTAGTCGAGTGTCGATTGATATATCATGTTATAGCGCTTTCAGCCGTGAATCAATCCACTTTTAAAAAAGTTTCTTAAAAAATTCTCAAGAAAACAATGGTTTGAACTTTGGGTCTTTCGGATGATAGACCCCAGCAAATTATAGCCCCCACGTGTTAAAAGTATAAAATGGGAGGGGTGGGTTTTAACTTTTTTGTTACCAACCTGGAAGGGCTATAATGCGCAAAGACCCGAAATGTTTGCAATTTTTTTTTGGTTTTGAGCTATTTTTTTTAAGGCTGTTATCGATGTTATAATAGCACAGAAACTTTTGTTTACGCAGTGAAGTTTTTTTATAAAGCTTAATTTAGTGCTTTTTTGGTATAAATAAGTTTGTTGGAAACAAAAAAACTACTCTCTCAAATATTGAAATCAGTGATAAGTCGAAAAAAAAATTGTTGAAAATCAATCATGCATAAACGATTATGCCCATAGTTTGAATTTGTGATTATTTTACCAAAATTGAATTAATAACCAAATAGATGGATGCTATCAGGTTTTTCAACAGGTTGTGAGTTCGGGCTCTAAATATGGGTCACCAAATTCGTTACGTTCACGAGGTCCGACGATGTTTGTGATGTTTTAAAAAACAATGTGAAATTTCAGAAAACGTAGGCTACAAGTTTCAAATATCAACCCTGTAGATGGGTGCTGTCAGAGTTTTCAAATGTTGCCTCCAAAAATGACTGTTCAAATGACTGTTAAACATTTTCAAAGAATTATGAATAACAGATCAGAGGTTTGAAAAATTACAAAATTAGAAATTCATCAAACTTAAAAACTCAAAATTAGAAACCATCCTGTAGTTGGTTGCTGTCAGGGTACACTCAGCTGTTGCAAATCTTGCCTTCAAATATGACAACTAAAAATTTTTAATTTCCGAGGTGATATTTCGAAACTGTTCCAAAAAGTTAGCCAAATGAAAAATTTCACTTTGAAATTCCCAGCTTCTTAGTGAGGCTCTGTCAGGATTCTCTCAGTCGTTGCAAATCTTGCCACCATATTTGAATGCTCAAATTCTTTTTGTTTCCGAGATATGACCTTTTTTATGATTTTTCAGGGCTATATAGGTTGCAAAACCTTGCCTTTAAATAGGACCGTTCAAATTCTTTTAGCTTCCGAGACTTGACCTTTTAATTATTTTTTACATGTTTTCGAGTAACGTAGATTTCAAAAAATTGACAAAATTTGAAATTTCAACGCTGTGATTGGGTGTTGTTATGGTTCTCTCAGGGGTTGCAAGCCTTGCCTTTAAATATGACTGTTCAAATTCATTTATTATTTTCGAGATTTGACGTTTTTCTGAGATTTTTTCTGAATTTCAAAAAAATCATTTAAAAAGTTTCATAAAGTTGGAAGTTCACAACACTATAGCTGGGTGCTTAAATGAGGTTTCAGGTGTTGCAAATTTTGTCTCAAAACATGACTGCAGAATTCCTTTTTGTTTCCAAGATATGATATTTTTCAATGTTTTTCGAAACATTACAAACTTTGAAATTCCCAAACTTACAGTGTGTTGCTCTCAGGTTACTTTCAATGGTTACATTTCTTGCCTCCAACTTTGACTGAGCAGGCGCTTGTAGTTTTCGTAATATGACGTATTATGGTTTATCGAAATTTGAACTATAAATGTAAAAAAAATTTGACTTCAAATATGACTGCTGAAATCCTTTTTGTTTCCAAGATATGATATTTTGTCAATGTTTTTCATAATATAAAATAAAACATTACAAAATTTGAAATTAACAACTCGCATCTACAACACGGTCGCTTGGAAGTATACTAGTTGCCCAGCTGAAGCTGAGGATACCTGTTTGATACATTTTATGATTATGTTGTAATGAAACAAAAGTAAAGCATAATAAGTGATAATTGGATTGAAGGAATGCCACTTTTAATGCCATTAAAAGTGGCATTCCTTCAATCCAATTATCACTTATTATGCTTTACTTTTGTTTCATTACAACATAATCATAAAATGTATCAAACAGGTATCCTCAGCTTCAGCTGGGCAACTAGTATACTTCCAAGCGACCGTGTTGTAGATGCGAGGTCGTGAGAATCTTAAATAGCAGGTCAGAGATTCAAATCTGGAACATTGAAATAGTTTTTTTGTCTATTTTGTTTTGTCTGTTGGTTATTTGTTTGATGTTCCTGGAAGATCTTTTTCGGAACTTGGATCTACATAGGATAATTAGCCTTTCAAAAGTTTACTAAGAAAAGAACTATTAAATTACCATTAACTGGCGGATTAGCAATCAGTTGCCAAATTATTTTCAATCGATTACCCTAGCTGAAAAAAAAATGAATTTTAAGTATTCATCAGTTAATTTTTGAAGGACACTGATGTGCTACTTGCCCAATAGTTAAGTACTCGTGATGATCGGTATAGATATGACGTTTCTATTTATGATATAATTTGCCGATTGTTTAGGTCTATTATTGATGGTTATGTAATTTGTCTCTATTTCAGTGTTGTTTCCACATCATATACGTTCTTACGCTCTGAAATTATGCAAGCTATGGAATTTCTTTGGGCTTAGTGGAAATCGCTGATTATCAAAGTCACAACTTGTTCATCAGATTTTGCAAATCGGACAAACATATTATGAATTAACCTCCAGGTAATTGACCAAAAATATATGTCTGTTTACTTAACAAGGTTAGAACAAAACCTAATTGAGTATTCATTTACTACTGGATACCTTCGCTTGAATGAGACGATATTTTAAACTGTAATCATTAGTTTTTACCTATCAAATTATTTGCAACTGTTATTTAAATCTAAAAATGATCATGAAAAAGTCAACTCCGATGACTATTTGTTTATTTTTCCTTGGTAAGCAGCCATATACCTATCCTAATGTAGTCTTTAGTTATTCACAAAAATGATTTTGGATCTTTTGCGTCAAGTTGCTATTGAACTGGACGTAAAAAAATTTAAAGCGCAAAAATACCCCCCAACAAGATCTGTATCTAAATACAAGTAAATTGTTGCTAGTTCTGTTTTCCTGTCACTGCTGTTTTTGCAAAAAAAATAATAAGTGTACATACTTACAGGCCAGTGACAAAGATAATTAAAAAAATAACTTGAATAACGAAAGTTACAGCTTGAGGGTTAAGGTTCTCATCGGTTCAAGCATCGGATAGTGAGAGGGAAGGAGTTTTTTTTGTGTGAGTCAGATCGAAGATCATAAAAACTTCAACCGTCCATAACAATTTGCAAAGGATCGATAACTGCAGACAAGCTTGGTGACAATACAGTGTTGTGACCAACCTTGTACTTGTCAAGACAATTCATCAATTTATTATTTTCATTCATCATCTGAATTTTTTTCTCTGTTTAGTGTTTTGCACCCTCCACGCAGTAGACATTCGTTTCCGCTTCGCCATGGAGTTCGTGCTTCCCCATAGCCAAACCACACATGGGGAACTTTGCGCCCACTACAGGTACTTTGATCTTTGAAACACAGCCCATAAACTTATGCAAAGCAGATGGTTAAACAAGACTGCTCGTTCCAGGACAACGCCCTGAAAGTTCCGACAGTCAATAAACTGGTCTCGAATAGTTTTTGGTTAATTAGTATTGACAAACTGTGAATTTTAACCTGAAAATTGAGAATGTGTATGGAATTAATAAGACGAATTAGCCTCTTATTAAATTGCCTTTGGAACCATTTTGTGGTGCGTGCGGGATAATTCGCCACGCGTAAATCATGCGTGCTGTTAAACTTCCGGCAGAAAAGTATCACAGCCCTCTTATAGTAGTCCATTGAAAATTACCAGGTCCCTTGAGAATTAGACACATAGAGCTCTCAAATTGTTTAGTAATTATGATCTCGCCATTCAGAAAGATTTCGCATCATATTTTCAAACAAATTTTATCTCTTGTTACTTCTTAAAACCTCTCCCTCACCATTTTAAGGTTGAAAATTAAAAAAAAAGTCGATAGTGGGTTTTGATGACAGATAAGTCAATCCAATTATGGTTGTTAAACCGTAAAATAAAGTGAAATATAAACAAATGTAGTAATTACAGTTTTTAATCTGAAAAGTTACTGACTCAACATATTTCGCGAGGTTTTTGAAATGAAAAATTTATACACAGATTAGTTTTCAAAATTAAAACATGCGAAATGCATGCGGGACATGTCTATCATAGTAGTACCAATTGCACAGTTAAGCATATGCGAGTTTTGTACCGTGTTAACCAATTCCCCCCTATTGCAATGGGGGAGGGGGGATTAGTTAACAAGATCCCATCGTTGCTTTAGTTCACCTGTTGTTTTGTTTTTAGTCAGTTCTACTGTTTCGTGAACTTGAAGATAGACTTGGCTCAATCTAGGCGGAAGGGAAAGGACTCAGACAAAAACCGCTTCAAAGAATTAGTGCGACCGTTATACAAACAACTCAATTGGTTTTCACTTTCATATACCGATCGAGACTCAGAAGGTTATAAACATTGATTCAGCATACAAGGGTTTTTGCATTGCAATTTTGACGCGTGTTTTCCAGACAACTTAAAAATGAATTTTTTAAATAGAGTTTTCTGAAAATCAGAGTTCCGTTCAATTGATTTTTTGAGTGCATTCCAGGATTTATTCGACTGGATTAGAAAACTGGCGAGCACATTATTTCCATCTCTTATTTTTCTTCAAGGCTGCTGTTTATGACTGGATGATGTTTTTGAACCATAGCTATGACCAATTTTTTTTTGCGTTTTTATATTCGAAAATTGCGTTTTTATTTGTGAACGGTTGTGTAGTTTTCATTTGCGCTACATCAATAATTAATAATTTTATCGATCTAGGTTGTTGCACACGTCAGCGCGTCTTGTATGAGGTTAATGGACAGAGGAAAGGTCTTTCGCCCGAAAAGTACTTGGAGAAAGTGAGCGATTTTCGGGGATACAACAAGAGGCTCATATATATTAAGGTATGACATGCTTGTTTTAACAAATTCTAACTAATTCTTATGAAATGCTTGTTTTTAAAATCAATTTTCTATTAGAAATGGATTTCATCATTTTTCCACTCAGGACACCAAAAACTCGAATTAAGAACTGATAAATTGTTTAGACGCGGTATGAACCGTTAATCTGCAAAAACATCATTACTGGACTTGGATTTGGCCAGACTTTTACCGGTTTTATCTCGATACTTGGAGATCATCACGCAGAGTTCGGTTACCTGTTTCCTTCAGGAGACCAAATAATCCGAGAGTTCAAATCAGAGAATATTGAAGATATTTTGACCTTTGATTGGTTCAAGTGGAATATAATGTGCGAAGAGCAGCCTTGGATCTGTCAACTGGACTCTGACGAATCGGTTGACTCAAATGAAAGTGACCCAAATTCACAACGCAGAAGACTGATTTAAACTATATTTCAAATTAACATTCAGCATAAACTGATTTAGTTAGTTGCATATTAGTTTTTAACTAGACTGAAGAACTTTCAAATTGAATCTTCAGGTTTTTACAGTTTTTACAATGCAGACTTTTTGTTTCTCGTGTTTTCTTGAAGAAAGGTTTTGACAACAAAAAATTGATTTAAACACTAAACCGTTCATGAAACCATAAAAGGCTTTGTTGTGTTACATAATTTGTGTGACCAATTGGTGGTAGAATTAAAAAGAACCAAAGAAAGAGCTCTAATTTTTGTAGCCGATGAACGTAGTTCAGGCTCTTGTATAAATCATGAGCTTTTTTCCGTTTTTTTCCAGGAAAAGTCTTCGTTTGTTCAGGCTCACATGAATTTCTTCATAGTTTGATTTCTTTCCAATCTTAGATCATTTCCGTTGTTGAACATCAAAAGTGTGACGGTTACAAAAAATTTGATTAAATTCTAGTGTCAATCATAAGTTTTTCTTGATATTCAAAGAGCTTCTAGGCCCTTTATTTTTACTTGAAACGTCGAAATTTTTAACAAAAAAACTTAAGTCAGGTTTCTTTTTGCTGTTTTCTTGCGTTCAATTACTCTTTTCCAACTGTCTCTTGGCTATGTTTTTTGCTTTGTCGATTCTTCTGCACCACTTCATTTTCGTATCACAGGTAGTGCAAATCTTTTCTTCTCCTTTGTGATGAACACAGCGCGTTGCCGTCTTCTTTAAATTTCGAATTGTCTATTTTCAGCCACGTCTAAATATGGTCATGTTTAATTTAATGACTCTCTCAGATGTTAACACAGGCGCAGCATAATATGATAGCACATTGTGGAGTTTTTTGCGCGGTCAGCTGGGGTTTTGATATATTCCTGTAATTTATAAGATTAATAGCGCTGACTTTGTAAAACTTCTTTTTGTTCCGACTTTCGATATGAAAGTAACGGAATATTTGTGCTCGGGGTGGGTTTTTTTCAGACAAATTTCAACTTTTTAACTAGCCATTTTTGACGGAATTGCTTTAAATCATTCGAAAGGTATTGTTGTCCTGAGCTCAAATTTGAAAAGATATTTCACCTGCGATCATTTTTCGTAAAGTTACGGGCTTTAAGGATTACCAATTTGGGACAATTAACGAGCGATATTTTTCGCGCTATTAACGCATAAGCGGAGATTTAATCCGTCTAAGAAATCGTTCCAAATTGGTTGAAGAAATATTATTTGCCATAATTAATTTGTTACCAGGAGCGAAATTTATCACTTTCTACTTTATATGGCGTGTGGGGGGATGATTTTCACAAAAAAATCTCAAATTTGAAAAAAAAATCAATTTTTTTTAATTTTATTTTTACATTTAATTTTTTCATGTTATCACTGCTTCATAGACCTTAAAAGGCAGTCCGAACCTTCAGGGCTTCGCCCTGATACGAGCAGTCTTGTTTGTATTTGTTTTACTCAAAAGCTATAATCGGCCTCAATATTGAAAGGTTATCTTTTATCTAGCTTAGTTGCCTTGATTTGTGTAGCTTCAATGGAAAAATGATTTACTGACAAATCAGGTAATTTGTCTTGCAAAAATTCAAGTCATAATACGTAATTGCTCGAAATCTTTTTTATGGCATTTTTTGTTTTAAGCGCAATTAACGGCTTAGAGTGGCGGGGGGATGGAGGATGTCAACAATTTAATTAAAATTAAGCGCTGGGGTGGCGGATCTTAACTTGATCTATTTGGGGGGAGGATGTTAACTTGATCCGCTCAATAACTCTGCTTGGTAATTACGAGCAACGCCTCTGAATTTTGAGTAAATTAACTCCATTGGTCTGTTTTTGAATTGTATACTCAAATCGGTAGGTCCTTGATTCAAAAACTACCTTAGCCAAAGTCTTCATGGTTTGAGAGATTTTCAGTTTTGCCTCTGTTCAAGTGTGAATGAACATACAGAAGACATATCTAGATCGTGATGATTTTAAAATATTTTTGAAAGGTCTGATCACGCTCTAATGATGTATCGTGGCTTGCCTTATGACTTCTCTTTAAGTACAGTTCTTTTCGCAAACAGGGAACGCAAACTCCACTATTGAACCGCGAAGTTGTGAAATTTACGAAAAACATGAATGACTTATTGTTTCAAAAGCCCATTTAATTTGAAGATTTACGTGCAATTTTTGGTCCACGTTTCTTAGATAAGCGCAATTTTGCCAATCATAGTTTATTCTTAAAATTGGAAAAGCTGAAGGGCACGAATAGTTTTCTGAAGTTTGAAAAAAAAAACTGAATTTTTTCACAATTTTGATCAGCAAAGTTATCGCATTTGGGTACTAGACTTGTTTTTCTTTTAAAAATTATGTTTTCTGAAATCATTGCCTGTAGTCAATCATTTCCATCAGACGTATATTGAGCTGGCACGCATTTGAAACATCCGTTTTATTGACACCTTCGATCAGCGTAGTATGTTACTACGAACCTTCTTATTTTTCTATCCTATTTCGCAAATACAAGTAACCATTAAAAGTATTCACCTATTTTGTGGCACTTCTGCTATAATCACGATCTGTAGTATTGGAAATTTCAAAGCATCTGTTCTCTGCTTTCTGTGGCTAATGTTTATGATTTATTAAGAGTCAGTGGTTAGTGCATGAGGCTCAGAATCTCCAGATCGCGATTGGTCGGAGATCGAATCCGAGTCGTAGCTGAATTTTACTAATTCGAGTCTTATTTCTACTTTTCTTATTGCACTTTCCAAAGCTGCTTTTTGTTATGTTCTCGCTAGTGTTTGCGACGCGAAGGTTCGCCCGGTGTCTAAACTTGCATTCTATTTTGGTTGTAATTTTACCAACTTGATTTGTTCCTCATTTGTAAAAAAAAATTTTGAAGTTGGTTTAATAGCGCACCGAGGCAGCTTCGAGGCTTCTTCCTACTTGGTTAACCCAGTTGTCTTTGTACCTTAAGTTCTTATGTTCCGGACTTTCGCTAGTCTGCATTTGTTTTGTCGGCGTAATTACCACATAGGGGAATTTTTTGTGATGCTGCTAATTTTCTGAGTAGATGCAATTGTTTCTGATTTATTCCTGTAATTTATAAAATTAATAGCACTGACAAAAGTTTTCCTTTGTTTTCCTTTCAGTTTTTTTTTTCGTCTGAAAAGTTTTAGCTTAGCTTTTTTCGTCTTGGTTAGATATTTTTCGTGTCTTTTTAAAAGCAAAATATTGATTTTTTTTTTGAAAATTTATGGTACTTTGTGTTGCAAATTCTCAAAAGTCTTAAGACTGAACTGTTCAAAATTTTTAATGACAACAATTTTTATGCAATCTATTGTTTTCAACTCAATGGGCGTCTGACCACTTGTTTTCAGTTTAGTGGCCCCTCGTTTAGTGCTAAAAGTTAACTTATTACTTTTCGTTGTCTTTTCCGTCTGTTTTTCTGAAACTTTTATAACTCTTCTCCATTTTTTTCTAATTTGTTATTTCCATTTCCTTTCGTCTTGCTAAATTGCAATGCTACGCTTACGTGGAATCGCTAAGATTTTGGGTTGAAGGAAGAGAACAAGTTGTGGAAAGCTTCATTGCCTTACCGGTCACTTTCGTTTTTTTTTTCACGCAACAAGTTATCGCCATCGGAAAATTGAAATACCTGATTGTTTGACAGTTGTTTTTTTTTCTGAAAAATTTTTTGACGTGAATCGAAAACTATCCATTCAAACCTTATATTTTAGGATCAATTTGACCAAGAGATAGAGAGAAGCTTGTGCGCATAAGCAGCTACGCCCATTCTTTTCATAAAAAGTTATGGACCTCGGAAAAGTCAAAAAATTGATGTTTCGACCGTTTTTTGGATTTTAGTACAAATTTTTCAAATCTGAAATTTTGGGTTCAACCTAAATAACTGGTTGTGGAGAACTGTCCTGAATATTTTACTACGCTGAGTATTTTAACTCGAAAAATTATGGCCCCCGGAAAGGTCAATTTTGTTATTGCTTACCATTTTTTGAAACTTCTCAAAACCTGCCTTCCTACGTGAGTTTTTGGCTTCTATCGAAATGTCAGCTTTCGTGGGTTCCTTCTGCATAAATAGTGTAACCCAATTGTTGTTACATAAGAAGCTTTGATAGACTGAAAAAACACATTTTTAAATTTTTTTTGATGATTTTGGATAAATATCATGCCAAATTTAAAATCAAGGGTTCAATTGAAACAACAGATTGCTGAAAATTTACATGCTTAATCGGGTTTGCTCAATTTTTTTTTCAACAAGAAAGTTAAGGCCTTTAATTTCTTTGAACCATAGTAGTCCGCGCTGTTTTAACTTTTGCTTTTACCTATTAGAAACTGGACCTCGCGAGGCAAACTCGCTACCGAAAACATTGATTTTAATTGTTTTTGTTAACTTTGGTGCTTCGAATTAATGCCAGTTTCTGAGCCAGTTTTTTGCCTACAGTGTAATATTTTTCAATTTTTTTTCGGCTTCCGAGTTATCACAGTTTGATTGCAGATGGTTCCCTCGTGCACGCTCTGCATGTAATTGGAAAATTGCTCTGCTATTTTATTGCATCATTTCAAGTTTTGTTATGATAGATATTCAAAAGTTTGTTTGCAACAGCTTGCATAATCAACGCGTCAAGATAACTTGTTAAAACCTCAAAAGTTTGACTATTGACGTCACTGGGTGAGATGAACACTGCAGAGTGCGAATATGACCGCTTATGTTACTGCCTATCGGCCGCCAATACGACATTTCTGATAAAAATTGTTGACCTTTTTCCTCTGTTGGCGATTTCGTTGCATAATTCCAAGCACGTACAGGATAATTTCATCTGTTTCAATTTGGTTTGCTACACAGCCGTTGTCAAAAACTGCGTGAACTTCTTCCTTCCTTGTAAATCTTCCGTTTCAGGCTCTGTAGATTTTTCAATCAATTCTGGCTCTCGCAAAATGAAAAGAGAATTTTCTGTATATTTGTATTTGATCTCTCTATGAGGACAGATTTGAGTATGTTTTTGCTGCCGAGATATCAAAAATGGTCAATTCACTGATTTGTTTCATTGTTGCACACTAGCATTTGACCGCCGCACAACATTTTAGTATAAACAACCTTGATTTAGAAATCAATTGGGCCTTTTTTTTCAAACTTTAGTTTTTATAATTTTCTGAGTTTTTTCAATGGTGTCGCCAAGTGAGGAAAAGTTGTCCGCGTAGTCCAGATATGCTATGACTATGTCATTTCGCACAACAGAGCACAAAAATCTCTCCTGCCCACCCCTCCATCCTAGTTATGTAATCAGAATCTAGTCAATCCCAAGGTTATTGTAAAGATAAAGCGACTGTTGGTGATGAAAAATGACTGCGAAAGGCTGACGTAAGCAGAAATTAAGCTTTTCATTAGTTGGTCGTCTGTAACTGTTTTTTTTTGCAGAAGAAATTCGTAATACAACATATCAGAAGCTTCGAAGAGATATATAAACGTACACGCTACCACCGCGTTAGATATCTATAGAAGTTAATCACTGGAGCCAAGCGTGGCCAGGGGAAAACCATATCAAAGCCTTGCAGGGATTGCCCTAGACTTCCTGGATCGGTCTAAGAGTCCAAATCCGGTTTTCAAAGAATTTCGCTAGGAACCAGGCCTGGACTGCCAGTTTGTTTTGGCGAAAAACTAAAATGGCTAAAGCCAACAAACTTGCTTGAAATAACCAAAATTTTCTCGAGCTTTATTCAACAGTCAGCTAGAGAAAGGATCAGAATTATTTATGTACAAAGGCAAAAATCTATCACCTATCGGCTTTCACCTTCAGAGAAAAACTGAATACACAACAACATAAACCAAAAACAAGAAAACGAAACGAAATTTACAAATATCAAAAAATCAAAGATCAAGCAGAAGCAAAAAATCAGAGGGCACGCAGAAACGCATTGTACTGATGTCAATTGAGTTTTTTTTAAAATCCGTGCAATCAAAAGACTTCAATTTGACCACTATAAGTGGGCAGGTATTTGGTCTCCCAATAATCAATTTTACTTTTAAAAGTTGGAAGCAAAAGTAATCTAGAACATAAAAAATTAGCGAGCTGGATTGAGTATTGTAGAAATCACATCATAAAAAAGTTTAGCTAAAAGAGAAATGAATATTGTTTCACAGTTCCTTGAAATAATTGATCATAGTTCCTTTATTTTGTAATTTTTTCAAATTCACTGTCAAATATTGTCTATAATATCGGTGATTAAATAAAAAGTAGCAAATGGCAGATCGCACTTATAAAAATTATTTGTGGCAGAAAACATTGAGAACAAACCATAATTTTTCTTCACGCCAGTCGAGGTAATGTAGTTTAAATTAGTTACAGATGTTGAACTATTACAGACAATTAGCCCAACAGAGTTTTAAAAAGTTATTTAGTCAGAGCGCACCTATACCCATAGTTTTTTAGGCAAAACGAACTTGTAAATATGTTATAATTTTTGTCAAAAACACATCAAACGATTTCTTGATGAAGTAAAATTCTACTAGGATGTACTATTTAAAAGATTACAGTCGTTACATGCGCAAAACTTGGATTACTGACATAAAAATCGAACCTGTATATTTTTCTCGGCAGAGCGCTCGTATAACTCAGTTTTCAATTTTGGCGCACCCTTTTAAAAATCAAAAGTTTCAAAACTGCTCAAAAGATTAATAACACGTCAAAATCAATAACAGAGCAAATTAGGTCAAAAGCCTCAAAATCGTTAATGTTTAGAGATGTTAAGTTATATATGCATATGTACGCATATGTACTTTAAATTCGCAATCAACATTATAAGACGACGGTCGGATCACGATGGATTTCAATATATATTTCGTCTTATAATGTTGATTGCGAATTCAAAGTATGCTTTGATATATGCTTTGAAAGTTTTGCTTCGACTTATGTATTCGATTTAGCAGTTTCGGCGAAAAGTATAAAAGCTCTGTTTGCTGTTTCGATGAAAGAATTTGTTTCAGAAAATTGTTTAACGTCTATATATGCATTGCCACCCCTCCAATTTGAACCAAAACTGTTTTTTTTTGCTGCTCTGTGCATCAAGTTTTGCTTTTAAAACGTTTTTAAGCATTCACACATTCTCTACACCTGAAAAATGTTTCTCTAAACATCTCTAAACGTCAACGACTTTGAGGTTATTGACCTATTTTGTTCTGTTATTGATTTTGACCTATTGTTAATTTTTGACCGGTTTTTGAAACTTTTTGAATTTTCTGTATAACTACCCTCCAAATCTGAGATTTTGGGTTTAATTAAAATGACGGGTTTAATCGAAGCTCCCTGAAGAAAACTGCTACGTTTTTCTTAATTATATACTTTTTTCTAATTTTACGGAAAAATCAGTTTTCGATTTATTGATACTTTTTCAAATTTCTGAGACTTGTTTCGAAAACTATTCGAAATGTCAGAGCTTGGATTTAATGAGTTAAGATGAGTTTCACTGTATATGTGGTTATGTCCAAGTTTTCCTACAAATACTTTTTGATCCACTGAAAAGTCGAATTCTCGATAAAGACCTAGCCAAGTTTCAGATTGATGGTTCAATCGAATTTACAACTTGTGGTTAGTAGCGGCTACTTCAGTAGAGAAGCTACAAAGTCGGATTTTGGACAAAGTCTTACTTTTGAATTTTTATAAAATACATTTTTCATCACGCATCAGTGCGAAATTTTCCAAAAAATATGAAACTGGGCTTTAGCTGGGCCCCTAGTTATTTTTTGAAGACGTAAAATTTTCAAAGAAACTGGTGCTCAACAAAATTTTACCAAACATTACGACGCCAAACTGTGCACTGGATAGGAGCACAATTTTGTGTCTGCATGTTCCTGGATTTCAGAGACAAGTCTTTAAAAATGTTCCAAAATGTAAGTGGATTCCACAAACAAAATTTCAGTGGATTCCGCATGCATATACCTGTAACGTAAATTTTGTCGGCACATTTGTTTTGTTGCGGATTCCGCAATAAGCAAATATAGCTAGTTGTTCTGGATTCCGCAACTGTAAGTGGATTCCGCAAAATGTAAGTCAAATCCGCAAATTTAAGTGGAATCCGCAAAATTTGTATGCGGAATCCGCAAATGTTAGCGGATTCCGCAAATTGTAAGTGTATTCAGCATTTTTGTTTATTACTGAACTTGCTTATGAACAATTAAAAGCTAGAGGTGGAGTATTTGACTTATTATCTATAGGAACGCGCAATTTGAACGCAAAAGGACTTATCCATTTGTCAGCGGAATCCACTAACGAATCTTAAAACATTGGTTAACTATGCGGATGTCAAATCTTTCGTTTTGGTTTGAAATGGGTTTGAAATGGTTGTTCAGGGTTTGAAATGACAGTTCATGTTTGAAATGGGGGCAGTTAAGTCACTCACTGTTGCAGATTCCGCAAATTCGCCTATTTTTGGAGCGATTTTGAGCGGTACAATGGTTTAGGTATTTGTTTGTGGAATCCAAAACAGCATAGAAGATCAAAGAAAAGTAGCAATGTTGCGGATTCCGCGACAAATCTGATTTTGGCCTGTTCCGGATTCCGCTTACTATGCAGAGAATGCACAGTTTGGCCTCGTAATGAAATTTTTTTAATGATACCAGACCCTGGTTATGTCCAGTTTTTCTAGTCTCAAGGATATTGACCTCCTGGTCTATAGAAACACTTCGTGAAGTCCAAATGCTAAATCTGGTCAACCAATTCCAAAACTTTCCAGTCAGCAGTGAAGCCAGAATTAACGAAATAGAACTCATGATTTTTTGCTCTCCACAAATGGTCGGATTAATAAACGATCTTTAGAATAGGCACAGTATAAAGCAAAGAACGACCCATTCCACTTTCTCCTTCACAAAACAAGAATGGATTTTAAATTCATTTTGATTCCGGTGATTACACTCTCTGGTTTGACGAAACATGAGTAAAAGATGTAAACTTTAATTTTTCTAATGATTTCTATGGTCAGTTATTCTATTGAAGTCATGAATTGATTTTTTGAGCTCCGACGATGAAGTTTTTTGCTGGTTTTTTTATTTCTCAGAAATCGATTTTGGGCTCACTTTTTCGGCACACTTGGTCCCAGTTTCGATCTAAGTCTCTTCTTTTGTCGCTGCAGTTCGTGTCTCGCCTCCTAAGTGCTTCATCTAACTTCTTCTTTTCGCAGGTGCGTCCCGACGACACGGTCGATGTTGTCGCGTCTTGGTCTCGTCGATGCTCTTTCTTTGCAGATCGGTCTACAAATAAATGATCAGCAAATTGAGACGGCTAATCGACATGCGAGAAATCCGACGACATTTACAGGTTAATACAAAACAGTTCAATTTTGATGACAAAAATTGACATAGTCAACTAATAAAAGCTAGTTCTGCTGCAATTACATATTCGAAACCTGTTGTAGAATGTGTTTGTATTAGTGTTTGGTGCTAATTCACATAGTTAATATTAAAATTATACGCAATATGAAAATTTTACTAATTACTTTTGCGAAAGCAAGTAACAATTGTGATGGGGAATAAGACCTTTTTTTCAGTTTAACAGTTTTTCTTACAAATCACTAAGAATTCGGCCTTGCTTTTTACCCCGGGTTGACCTCCCTAGACCGAAAATCATACAAATTCATACTTTTAGTCAATGGAAACATGCTAGTCATACAAATTTCATACATTTTTGCGAAATGAGTCTGATTGATTTCATAAGGTATTTTTTGTTGTTTTGATATCGAAATTGGTGTCTCTCCATAGAAAGAAGAAAAAAATGGTTAGAAAAAAGCTAATTATGCAATTTCCATATATGGAAACTGTTCCCGCACCGGAGTTCTATGGATAATAATCGATTATAATGGAAAAATGTTGTATAAAATGTTGTCATTATAATTCATTATAATCCATTATAATCCATTATTGTGGCAAATTTAGACCACGTAATCGATTATGTGGTCATTAAAATCGATTTTTTTGAAAAATAAAAATCCATTATAATCCATTATAATCGATTATAATCCATTATTTTTGTCACTGAAATCGATTATTTTGAAATAAAAAATCCATTTAAATCCATTATAATCCACTTCATTTTTAGAACTAAATTCGATTATTTTTGCAAAATATTGCAAATTTTGCGAGAAATTTGCAGAATTTATGCCATGTCTTTTACTACATGGCATGTCTCAACG